GCCTGGGTGACAGAGTGGGACCTTGTCTCAAAAGTAGAGGTCACAATAATACCTACAGCAAAGACATTTGTGCAGACAAAATGAGCTAGGGCCTGTAAAACTGTTCTGTGCTGCAAAGACACAAAAACCAACCACTTCTCCCAGTAACAGGGCAGGGTGTCTGGCCACTTGCCAATCAGAAACCTTCCCTGGGGTTTTACAGGGCAAATCTGAGAGAGAGAGAGGCATTTTACACAGCAACGTCAGGACGCCCGGGTGTTGAAAGACCATGAACTCAGGGCTGCCAGCTACACGTGTCCCTCTGTGTGGAGAAAGCTCATCAGAGATGGAGAAGCAGAAAGACTCAGAGGGTCCCTTGGCCACTTGAGCCCCGAAACCTCAGTTCTCTTCTGGGGGACAGCAGGGGATCAATCCATCTCCTTTTATGTTCAAAGCAGTGAGTTGAATTTCCGTTACCTTCACCTAGAAGGAATCTTGACTTTACAAAGCAGCTGAATGCAGTGCTTGGCCAACAGCGGCACTCAGCCAATGCCGGGTGCTGCTGCGGTGGCATCTGTGAGTTTCCTATGTAGCTGTGATAAATTACCATAAACTTGTGGCGTAAAATGACAGACATGTATCTACGTACAGTTCTGGAGAACCAGAGTCTGAAATCAGCCTCACTGGGCTAAAGTCAAGGTGTGGGCAGGGCTGGTTCCTCCTGGAGGCTCCAGGGGAGGATCTGTCTCTTTGCTTCCTCCAGCTGCTGCAGGCCGCCTGTGTTCCTGGGCTAGTGCCCGCCCCCTTCCTCATCACCTTCCTCTAATCTCCGTCTCCATCATCTTCATCACACAGCCTTCTCCCCTGTCCCTGACCTCCTGTCTCCCTCTTCTAAGAACACAGGGATGATCCAGGGAAGTCCTCCTGCCTCATCTAAAGATCCTTAACTTAATCACACATCAAATCAAAGTCCCTTTTGCTATGTAAGACCATACTCGCAGGTCCCAGGGATCGGGACATGGTCATTGTTGGATTTCTTTATGCAGCGTGCCACAGCACACTGCTGGTGCATTAACTCACTTATTCACTCATAACATGAGGGTGGAGACCTACTAGGTGCCAGATGCTCTTCTAGGCACTGGAGTGAGAGTAGAGAGTGAAACAAAGTCCCTGCCCTCACCAGGGTTACAGTCAAGTCAAAGAGACAGATGTAGGCATTCAAAAAACAGACAAGGATGAAACATGAGGCAGGACAAAGGGACAGAGAGTGACGGGTGGGGGCAGCCCATGTTTTAGATGGTGGTCAGGGAAGGCTTCTCTGAGGAGGTGACATCTGAGCAGCCACCTACACGCAGGGAATAAGGAAGCCATGGGCAAACGGAGACAGAAGGGAAACCAGAGCAGAGACCCCGAGGGGGGAAGCTGGCAGGGAGCACGGGACAAGGACAGGGATGGAGAAAGGTCAGAAGGACAGTTCAGCTCACGCGGGGCCTTTTCACCATGTAAGGATTTTGCCTTGTATTTGCACTGAAATGCGAAGTCATGGTAAAACCTTAAGCAGGGGGAGCGGCACGAGCTGATTTTCACTTACAAAAGGTTGCGTTGGGTGGTGTGTGAAAATGGACCAACTGCAACAAGAGAGGTGGAGGAAGAAGAGTATCCCAGGCGAGGGATGAAGGCAGCTTGGACAGAGTAGGGGAGGGAGGTGGCCAGGGGTGAGCAGACTTCGGAGACATATCAATGGCAGAGCCAATAACTTCCGTGGAAAGGAGAAGAGAAATAAAGGATGGCACCAATCTTTCACTGGGTAAAGGGAGCTGCCATTTACTGAGATGGGGGAGCAAGTGTGGGCACAGGAATGGCGTTCCCTGTAGTTCCATTTGGACAGAGGGACTAGTGGAGGCGTGCAGCCGGCAGTTGTGGGTCAAGTCTCGAGTTCAGGAGATGGAATTAGGAGTGAGCAATATGTAGATGACATCAACAAGGGGGTGGCCGTAGCTGGAGAGGAAAAGAGGCCCAAGGACAGAGCTATTGGGTGCTCAGCACCCAAAGACCGTGAGAAGGAGCAGTGTACAGCAAGGGGCCTGAACAGGGGCGGCCAGGGGTGGGAGACAATGAGTCCAGGTGCCAGAAGCCAAGGAGAGGACGTGTTTAGAAGGGTGGGCTGGGGGGTCAGGGACCACAGAGAGGTCAGGAGAAACAAAGACAGGGACTCGACCACTTGGAAACAAGAGGTCGCTATGACCTTGGTAAGTGCTTTCACTGAAGCCACAGGGAAAGGTGCTGTTCCAAATACCAGAGCTCCTTCCACGTCCTGACACTCCCCGTCCATGGCCTCCCTCCACTGTCAGGTTGAACTACTCATCCTTCCCTGACTGTTACTCTCCAGGGCCACTAAGCCCTTACCCATGAGCTTCCTTCTGCCTAGAGCATATTTCTCCCAAGCTACCCTCTGTCTCTCTCCAGCGTATTCTTTTGCACTCTGCATGACTCTTCCCCGACCCCACCTTCTGGGTCAGGTGTCCCTCCTCTGGTCTCACACTGGTTTTAACCAGCTCTGCTGTAACCGCCCCATTTCCAGCGTGCCTCTAGAACTAGGCTCTTAGGATGAAGTCAATGACGCACGATTCCCTGTCTCCAGCACTTAACCTAGTTCCTGAAACAGAGAGCATAACCAACAGACATTTGTTGGATACAAGACGGATAAACAGTGACTTCATAAACACCCTGCAGATTCACCTCTTCCTGAGGCAGTGTCTGAGCCTTTACAGCTGGGATCGCACCAGCCAATGTGGGGATGGACCAACCCATTGACACAGCCCTTTAGCTGCAGTGGTCCCTGATCAGTAATCCTCCAGACAAGTCAGTTCACTGGGTCAAGTCTTCCTGAAAGAGGTGACACAAAAAGCAACCACATGGGTCATGAGCTTTGAATCTGATGCCACATCTACAGATGGAAATGGATCACAAAGGGTAAAAAGGGAACACTTTCACACTGCTGGTGGGAATGTCCACTAGTTCAACCACTATGGAAAACAGTATGGAGGTTCTTTAAAGAGCTAAAAGTAGAACTACCATTTGATCCAGCAATCCCATTACTGGGTATCTACCCAGAGGAAAAGAAGTCATTATATGGAAAAGACACTTGTGCAAGCATGTTTACAGCAGCACAATTCACAACTGTAAAAATATGGAACCAACCTAAGTGCCCATCACCTGAGTGGATAAAGAAAATGTGGTGTATATACACCATGGACGACTACTGAGCCACAGCATGGAATGAAATGATGGCCTCTGCAGCAACTTGGATGGAGCTGGAGGCCATTATTCTAAGTGAAGGAACTCAGGAATGGAAAACCATATATTGTATGTTCTTATTTATGAGAGGAGCTAAGCTATGAGGATGGAAAGGCATAAGAATGATATAATAGACTTTGGGTTCTCAGGGGGAAGAGGGGGGGCCAGTGACGGATAAAAGACTATACATTGGTACAGTATACACTGCTCGGGTAGTGGGTGCACCAAAATCTCACAAATCACCAATAAAGAACTTAGCCATGCAACCAAAAACCACCTGTTCCCCAGTTGAAATAATAATAAAAAAAAATTAAAGAAATGGACCATAAAACAACACAGGGACACACTCTCTAGGCAGAGGAGGGTGACAGTGAGGCCCGGAGTGGCCAGTGGACAGCCTCTCTCCCCGCTTCCTCCCTGCTCCTCTCCACAGGATGAGCAGCAGGAGGAGGAAGGACACAGGGAGGATGGAGGACTGAGCTTCCTGATGATTCTTTTCTCTGGTACAAAAAAGAAAATGGCAAAATATGGGGCTTCCTCCAGACTGGGTGTGCTGGTTCATTTGACTTGTCAATTTGGCTGGGTCACTGCACTCAGATGTTCGGTTAAACATTCCTCTTGTTTCTGTGGGGGCATTTTGGGATGAAATTAATATTTAAACTGGTGGACTCTGAGGAAAATAGATTGTCTGCCATAATATGGCTGGCCTCAGTCAATTAGCTGAAGACCTGAAGAGAACAAAAAGGCTGACCAGCCCTGAGCAGGAGATCATTCTTCCAGAGACGGCCTTTGGATTCGAAGTGCATCTTCTTCCTGAGTCTCCAGCCTGCAGGGCAACCCTGCAGAATTTGGACTCACCAGCCTCCACAATCATGTGAGCCAATTCCTTAAATAAATCTCTTTCTCTACAAACACATCCTATCAGTTCTGTTTCTCTGGAGAGCTCTTATTAATACACAGGAGTTGGGAAGAAAGAAGCTCAGCTGAGTATATATTATTGGGCAGACTATACAAAGCACCAAGCTTGGGACCGAGAAAAACAACAACCCTCCCTGGTCCCTGCTTCCCAGAGCTTCCAGTGTGGCTGCATTTACTCCTCATAGAGCCAATTCTTCAGCAGAGTGCTACCTTTTGAGCATTTGTGTCTCTTCCAAAATTCATGTTGAAACTTAATCCAAATGCCACTGTATTAGGAAGGGGGGCCTTTGGGAGGTGATGAGCCCATGAGGGCTCTGCCCTCAAGAATAGGATTAGTGTCTTATAAAAGGGCTCCAGGGAACTAGCTAGGCCCTTTTTGCCTTGCCATCCCCTCTGCCACACAAGGACATGGTCTTCCTGCCCTCCAGAGGACGCTGCAACAAGGCGCCCTCTTGGAAGCAGAGAGCTGTCCTCACCAGACACTGCATATGCAGGTGCCTTAATTTTGGACTTTCCAGCCTCCAAAATTGTGAGAAAATTGATAAAAATTTTCTAATTCTTTTTTTTTTTTTTTTTTGAGGCAGAGTTTCGCTCTTGTTCCCCAGGCTGGAGTGTAATAGTGCGATCTCGACTCACTGCAACCTCTGCCTCCCGGGTTCAAGTGATTTTCCTACCTCAGACTCCAGAGTAGCGGGGTTACAGGTGTGTGCCACCACACCCGGCTAATATTTTGTATTTTTAGTAGAGATGGGGTTTCTCCATGTTGGTCAGGCTGGTCTTGAACTCCCAACCTCACGTGATCTGCCCGCCTTGGCCTCCCAAAGTGCTGGGATTACAGGTGTGAGCCACGATGCCCAGCCAAGAATTTCTGTTCTTGATAAATTATCCAATCTAGGAATTTTGAATGATAGCAGAAGCAGACTGAGATGCATGCAGAGTTCACAATTGGAAAGGGCCCACAATCTATAAATGAACCTGGCTGAAATTCCACTGGTGATACTGGCTTTCTGTGGAGTCTCAAAGTAACAAAGAAAAAGGTGGGGGAATCAAAGTGGAGAGTGGGAGGTGGCTCAGTTACGCAGAGACAGAGGCCAGGGGTGGTCATCTGCTTCAGACCCTTCAGAGCTGGTCAGGAAGAGCACAGTCTGTGCAGCACCAGGTTGGGCTGAATCCTGAGCCCGCCACCCGCAGTTGTAAGCCCTCATGCCTTCACCACCTCTCTGTGCTTCAGTCCCTTTATTCATAAAACAGGATAATACTGCCTGTTTTCCATCTTTCTGCAAGGATTAAATGAATAACAGACCTAAGTGCCTAGGACAGCACTTAGTGCATGGCAGGTGTGCAGGAAGCACCGGCTCCTCCCTGCCCTGTTTGGACACTGTCACTCCAGTGCTAACAGTGGCACCTTGTTTGGTACAGTCGACAGAATAATGACCCCTCTCCAAAATGTCCACGCGCCCATCCTGGGACCTACGCAAATGTCACCTTACAAGGGGAAGGGTACTTTGCAGATGGGAGTAAGGTCAAGGGCCTGGAGATGGGGTGGGAAAGCGGTTATCTTAGATTATCCAGGTGGTTCCAACGTAATCATCATGTGGATCCTTAAAAGCAGAGGTTCTTCCTTCTGTGTTAGGTCAGAGAGAGAGATGATGAGGCCAGAAGAAGGGCCAGAGAGATACGATTTTGCTGTCTTTGAAGATGAAGAAAGGATGCCATAAGCCAAGGAATGTAGGTGCCACCGGAGGCCAGGAATATCCCCTGGCTGGCAGCCAGCAAAGAAACAAGGACCTCAGTCCTACAACCACAATGGACCAAGCCCTGCCAATTACTTAAGTGAACAGGAAACAGATTCTCCCCCTAAAGCTTCTGAAAGGCAGGCAAATCTGCCAACACCTTGATTTTAGCCTGGAGAAACCCATGTTGGATTTCTGACCTACAGAACTACAAGGTAAGTTTGTAGCTGTGATAAGCTGCTGTTTGTGGTCATTTGTGACAGCAATGACAAAAAACGAATCCATTCAGGAAGCTGGATGTAGCCGGCTGGAAACCTAAAAGTGCCCCAACCCCTCTTCCCTGCTGACTCCCTTCTCAGAGGCTGGGGGTAAGTGACTTGCACCTCCCCTGCAGCTAGCAAGGCCTGCGGGCCAGCTTTCAGGTTGGGAGGGGAATCGCTGCAGGGACTTGGGGGCATTTGTTTCCTTGATGAGAAAGAGCAGGCATGGTGGCAGTTCTTCCACTTCTTTCGTTGCTCTGAAAGTTATGGCAGCTGGAAACTGTGAGAAGGAACTGTGAAAAGAATCGCAGAACATGACCCTGATGTCACTGTGTGAGCAAGCGCCTCTCCAGAGTCATGTGGCTTGCATTCACCACTGTATGAAATCATATTTCCTGCTACTTACAGACACCAGAAGCACAGGAAGCCCATCGCAGGATGCGTATAAAACCCGACCAGTAGCAGACAGTCAGGTACGTGACTGCATAAGGCTCCATGCACGGCCTCGGGGCTGTGTATCAGGAAGGGAGGTGAGTGCTGTGACTCTGGCCAAGGATGAGAAAGGCTGGCTGATCTCAACTCAGAGAGGTGTCATGTGGGGTGCAATATCGCTGATTTATGGCTCTGGCCCAGTTTTCTCTGACCCACTTTGTTCCTGATAGAACCTAGTTTTTGTATACTAAACTTAGTTAAAGATAGAGAAGAAGGAGAATATCTGGGTGCCTGACAAACCACAGAAAACATCGACGGGGGAAACGTGATTACTGTTGTGGTTGCTGCCATTAGCACTGATTGAGTGCCCTCTGTGTGCTGGGCCATGCCAGAGGCTTTGCACACATGTGCTCTGCAGTTCCCAAGGCTCCTCATCACCATCCTGCAAGTGAGGAAATGTGGACTCTGAGAAAAAGATGGAGTGATGTGCTGGCCAGGGGCGGCCTCAGACACGGCCAGCGTCCTCTCACCTGGCTGTACAGGGTTGCGAAGGTGTCTGCCTCCATGTTTTCCAACAAGTCTTCTAGGACGACACTGTTCTGTTGCTCTTCTCTCAAACTAGAGTGAAAATAAAATATACGTTGAGTTTGGTCTTGTTATAAAGTGATAGTATGAGATCATCTAGTTATTTATTTATTTATTTAGAGACGGAGTCTCACTCTGTTGCCCAGGCTGGAGTGCAGTGGCATGATCTTGGCTCACTGTAACCTCCGCCTTCCAGGTTCAAGTGATTCTTCTGCCTCAGCCTGCCAAGTAGCTGGACTACAGGTGCATGCCACCATGCCCGGCTAATTTTTGTATTTTTAGTAGCGACGGGGTTTCACCATGTTGGTCAGGCTGGTCTCGAACTCCTGACCTCATGATCCGCCTGCCTTGGCCTCCCAAAGTGCTGGGATTACAGGCGTGAGCCACTGCACCCAGCCTAGTTATTTTAACAACAAAAGAATCACACATTTAAGCCACACAATTTTAAAACTATGCCCATTGAAAGAGATGGCCAGAAAGACTGCCTTCCTTTTCTTGCCTAGGGCACTTTGCACATAACATATCAAGGAGGGTTCCCTGGGAAGGAGACTCCTCAAAGTGAAAAGTTTCATGGCAGGTACAATGAGATGTTTCTGTGACTTTACAGGGTGATCTCTGTGATGCTGCATGGAAAACTCTGCCTCAGTCCTCGTGGTGATGACCAAGAAAACCAGGATCCAGGGTCTATACCCACCATGTGCCCTTGGGTTGAAGCCACATGTGAAAAGGTGCCATCCAGAACCAAAGGATGGCACCTTTTCATATGCGGCTTCCTGATGCCCACACGAGGGGGTCTGCTTAATGCACGCCTCAGCCAGTTCAAGTTGGCTTCGTGAATCAGCCTCATGCTCTTGCTGGCTAATACACCCCAAAGCTTCTGCCGGTGCAACTCAAATCAAAAGTCTGATCACAAGCCATCTCCTCCAGGAGCATATGAATATTATATGCCCTAAAATCCCAGGCTAAATTAAGCCAGTACCTTTGAGCATTTCCCTCCAACCACACAGATTAAGCCCCCTCGCACAATTATTTCGATGGGACAGAAATGCACTTCGATGTGTTTATACAGAAGAGCGTAATAAAACATATGAACATCATCTGTAATCTCACTGCCCAGAAATCCCATCTATTGAAATTTGGTCGATTTCCTTCCAATTAATTTAGTGTGCGTGTTCAAAGATTAAACACACTATGTATAGACTTTGCCTCCAATCCTTTCCATGTTCATTTTTTATTCACAGCGGAAAAGTATGAAGCTGTTAAAAACTGTGTTTTTCCAAGAGTTCTTGATGCCACAGCCGAGGCTAAGTGTCTCATGTGAATTGAAAACCACACAAAGAACGACGACTACAACAACAAAAAGACTGGGGGACTGTTTTATAATTTTACAAAAGCAGGACATAAAATACTATGTTTGTGGTGAAACTGGAATAAGGCCTAGTCTAGTTCATTGTCTTTGCCAGCGTCAATTCACATACCATGACTATGTAAGATGTTACCAAGAGGGGAAGGGTACATGGCACTCTCTCTACTATCTTTGCAACTTCTTGTGAGTCTATATTTAAAAATAAAAAGTTTAAAAATGCTAAACAGTAAAACTTAAATGTTATTAAATTGAAGGGAAGAAGGACGCCAGGGAAGAAGGAGTAAAGCTACAGAGTCAGCAGCTCGTGCTGGAGCGATGGGATGACACCTTAGGCAGGAAGGTGAGGGCCAGGGTGGGCAAGGTCAGGCTGAGTGGGAGATGCCTGCGTTGGCCCCTCCAGGCCTTCAGGGGACTAATATCTTCACGTGCCCCGGGGCACACAGCCTACCTCTGCTGATGTTGCTCAAGTAGCGTCTGGCTCCTGCTCAGGGCTTGCTGCAGGACAGTAGAGACCTGCCTTTCAGAATCCACCTCCCCAGGTTCGTTCAGAATCCCGGGCCCATCGGCCACCCATTGCTGCCAGCTCGCCAGGGCCTGCTGCTGCTGGGCTGCCTCCTGCTGCACCAGCTGGTCCTCCAGCTTCCTCTCCAGCTCCTGGAGATCCTGCACAAGGCGGGGAAAGATGGTGAGCCCTACTGCACAAAGCGGGTGGGCTGCAGGACAACATCTGACCTCCTGGGCATGTCGCTAGAAGCCTGGCATGGCCCTGTCTTGCCTGGTTCCCTATCCAGCTGTGCCACATGGTGCAGTGTGAGTGCACCACAATCTCTCACTCCTGTGTCACCTCCATGCCTCCACATATGCTGTTCCCTCCACCTGCAGTGCCTTTCTCTGTCTGTCTGACCAATCCCCAGTCTTCTTTCACTCCACGGCTTAAAAAGAACCTCCTTGATGAAGGGCTCCTCAGTGAAGGGATCCCTGAGTTCCTTGGGAGACGCAGGCGCCCTCTCCTCACATGCCCACCACTACCCCTGGCATCCGCTCCGTTTCCTCCGTTACCCGAAATGACTGTCCTGTGCTTTCTGCTAGAGTGCGAGCTCTTTGAGGGCAGATGTGTCTCCTTCTCCCTGCCTACAAAGTGCCTGGGTGCCTGGTGGTTGGTACCTGTCACTGTATACAGTGGAGTATCTGCATGTGCCCACCGTGGCGAAAGCCAGACTGGAACACAGCAACCATGGCTCCACCACCAGCACCGTCAGCGTGCTGGGCGCTGCTTTGTGTACTTTTTATACGTGAATCTCACTGAATCCTTACAACAACCCTTCAGAATACATACTCTTACTTCTCTTGCTTTGTAGGTAGGGAAACTGAGGCAGACAGAGTTAAATTAATTTGCCAGATAATGCAACTACTGAGTGACAGATCCAGAATCTGAAGCCAGGCTAGGCAGCTCTGAAATTGTTTTCTTAACCAATGGGCTACACTGTCTCTCCTTGGCCAAACAGTAATCTGCATTCTTAGGCCACCAGGATTAGATAATCTCAGCATAAGAGACTGTCCACAGCCTGCTTAGGTGGGTGACAGGGGCAGGAAGGAGGGCCCCAGGTCTTGGAGAATGCAGACACATTTAACCCAGTATTTACCAGATTCGTCAGTACTGCAGTTAGGACTGGAAGGCGGACAAGGTGGTAAATCCCAAGAGGCCCTGGCTGGAGCTCACTGGGGAGGATGATCCTTAACCCTCCCACATAGGTACAGAACGGTTTGCCTTTCTGCAGAGAGGCCAAAGCTTGCGTCAAACACTCAAAAGGATCTCAAAGCCCCCGAAAGACTCTAAAACACTATTTAAGAACCACGAGAGAATAAAATCAGCCAGAGAAAGACTGCATGTCTCTGTAACACGGAGGCCACAGCATGGAGAACCTTCTATCCCAGCTAAACATTTGGGTGTTGAGGCTTTGAGAGCTCCTGAGCAGGGCTCCTAGCATGCTGAGATGTGGAGCTATGACCATCCCTCTCACTACAGCATCTCACAAGGAAACACAGCCCAGTGGAGTTCCAGCAGTGTGTGCTGTCATGCTGTCGGCATTGCCAGGAGCGGGAGACAGACCCCACTTCTACCCAGATGCCAGCCCCAGCCCACCTCGAGGGGAAGGGAGACTCACACCTGAGCCTGTGCCACCGGAGGAACAGTGGAACACACAGAGACTTTCAAGCACCAGGAGAGCCCTGGTTAGGAATAGAAAATAAGGTGGAAATGTGTCCCACAGTTTATAATCTGCTGATGGTGTCTCCAAACCCCTGTACCCTTACACCTGCCTGCCACCTGGTACAACTGGAATCCAAAAACTGGTTTCAGAATTGTGTTCTCTAATGCCTGATTTCCTCTCCAGGTTTTAAATGCTGAGGGCAGGGACTCAGGAGCATCACTGACGTGTTCACCTTTCTCCCAGCAGCAGAAAGAGTAACAATAATAATGATGATGATTGATGATGATGATGATGACAGGGATGACAGCAGCTGGCACTTACTGAATGCCAATATGATGCCAGATTTTATTCAACATATTTTACATGAATTAGTTTGTTTAATCTTCACAAAACAACATAAGACAGGAATTTTTCATTATCTAATTTTGTATATAAGGTAACTGAGGCAAAGGGTATAAATAAGTCTCCCGAAATCACAGAGCTGGGCAAGAGGCAGAGTTAGGGGTGATTTCAGGTGTCTCTGACTCTGGGTCCCATCACTCAGCTCAAACACCCCTAGTAATCACTCAACAGGTATCTGCTGAATGAATGTTGATGATGGATGGATGGATGGAAGCATGGATAGAGGGAGGGAAAAGGGAAGGAGGGGAAGACAGACACAGAATGGAGAGAGATTATAGATTGGGAGATTCATGGGTGAAGAAGACATGGCCCCTATACTCTGAAAACTCACTGTCTAGTTGCAGTGATGGAAATGCCAACATCTGCTTCGGGATGGAGGGTTACGGGAGCTGATTCCCTCAGCTCTGCCAGAGGGAATCATGGATGGCTTCAGAGAGGAAGTAACATTTGGGTTTGTCTTAGACTATGGAGTTCGCAAGTCGGTACAGCAGAAGCATTCTAGGCAGAGATCCTTCAAAGGGACACATGCCTGAATGTGTCTCCAATGCTCAGAGGCAGCAAGAAGATCCAGGGGCTAAAACGCAGGATCTGAGGGAGGCAGCAATGAAAGGTGGGATTTTTAAATTTAGAGCTGGGGATGGGGCTGTGAGTCATCACTTTTATTTTTCAGGAACATCCCCTTTACCATCGTGCAGAGGGTTAACTAGAGTAGGGAGAAAGGGAGGTAAGCAGAAATTGAGGTTAGGACAGGAGCATAGGCTTTGGAGGCAGAAGGTTTAAAGTCTGCTTTTCAGCTGTGGGATCTTGGTGAAATGACTTAACCTTCCTAAGCCTCAGCTCCTTCATCTCTAGAATGGGTATGAAAACGTCATGGGATGGACGTAGGTTTAAACACTTAACCACTGCTTTGGACATAATGAGAGCTCCACTGACGCTGGCTAATATCAAGATTATTTCTGTTGTTCAGACCTAATACATCAGACAAGTGAAGCTGGGCAGCCAAAGGTGGAAATGAGAAAATCCAGGCAGAATCAACAGAAGATGGCGAGTGGCATATGGGGAGAAGGGCAGAGAGAAGATCAGAAGATGCTGAGGCTGGGCACAGTGGCTCACGCCTGTAATCCCAGCACTTTGGGAGGTCGACGGGGGAGAATCACTTGATGTCAGGAGTTCGAGACCAGCCTGGCCAATATGGTGAAACTCCATCTCTGCTAAAAATACAAAATTAGCTGAGCATGGTGGTGCATGCCTATAGTCCCAGCTACTTGGGAGGCTGAGGTAAGACAATCAATTGAACCAAGGAGGTGGAGGTTGCAGTGAGCTGAGATCACACCACTGCACTCCAGCCTGGGTGACAGTGACTCTGTCTCAAAACAAAAAACAATAAAAGAAGAAGAAGAAGAAGCCAAGTCAGGCTTGGGAAAGTAAGTACACAGAAATTTAAGCTGAAATGCAAATACGGTGGGTACCATTTGTTTGGGGTCATGTTATCTGTTAGGAGTAAGTCTATCCCATTTAAATTTGCCTATCATTGTCACTTGGCCCTCTGATTTAACTGGGCCCTGCATATGTTCCAATTTTGCAAAATAGTCTAAATATTTCATCAGATAAGGTACACTTGATATGGTTTTCTGAGGAGTAATTTCTTCCACAGCATTCCATTTCATGGTTTTTTAATTCTCCTGAATGTTGAACAGCCTAAAAGCTCATTCCCAGTAGGAAAGTGGTTTACACAGAACGAGCAAATTGCAGAATGCAAGTCTAATATCTGGAACAAAACAACAGGTTTGTCTTCATTCCAAATGCAAACTCAAGAAAGAGCGTATCATATGCATTGCCTTCCCACCCATTTAATAATACACATGATCTGATTTATCAGCTGCTCCCAACTCAGGACACACTAACTCTCTGTTCTAAACAAACTGGAGGTAGCAATTCCTCAAAAGAATTTTAAGATAAAAAATGTAAGTGTTGTACTCTCCAATTATTATACTGATAGAAATCAGAGTGGTCTCAAGTAAAAAGCACTACTCTGCATTTTAGGGCTGTGCTGAGGGTGTTTCTTGGGCTTTTAGGATGAGCAGATGAATCATGCACTGAAGGCTAACTGTTCCTGGTGCCCCACCCTGCCCCTAAATCACTAAATAACCTTAGACCTGCTCTTCCCTCAGCAGGCTCTATTTCCTCCACCTGGAATTCAGGGCAGTGGTCCGCCTCATGGTAACCACCTTGAATGTAATACTCGCTGTGGACTTTGGCTAAGTACTCTGTGGAGGTTTCCTCCTATTATTAATTTGCTAAGGAGTTTTATCTTGAATGGGTGTTAAATTCAGTAAAAGAATGATATGGTTTGGATTTGTGTCCCCACCCAAATCTCACGTTGAATTGTAATCCCCAGTGTTGGAGGTGAGGCCTGCTGGAAGGTGATTGGAACATGGGGGTGGATCCTTCATGAATGGTTTAGCGACATCCCTTTGGTGCCATTCTTGTGACAGCGAGTGAGTTATAGTGAGATCTGGTTGTTTAAAACTGTGTAGCACCTTCCCCACTCCCTCTTCCTTTTGCTCCAGCCATGTAAGATGTGCCCCCTTCCCCTTTGCCTTCTGCCATAATTGTAAGTTTCTTGAGGTTTCCGCAGAACCTAAGCAGATGCATTATGCTTCCCAGTCTGCAGAATTGTGAGCCAATTAAACCTCTTTTCTTTATAAATTACCCAGTCTCAGGTATTCCTTTATAGCAATGTGAGAACAGATTAATACAGAAAACTGGTACTGAGGAGTGGGCAATGCTGCAAGAATAATTGAAAACGTGAAAGCAGCTTTGGAATTGGTTAACCAAAAGAGGTTGGAAAAGTGTGGAGGGCTCAGAAGAAGAAAGATGAGGGGAAGTTTGGAACTTCCTAGAGACTTGCTACATTATTGTGATCAAAATTCTGATTGTGATATGGACAATGAATTTTAGGCTGAGGAGGTCTCAGATGGAGATAAGAAACTTATTGGAAACTAGAGTAAAGGTCACTATTGCCATGCTTTAGCAACGAGACTGGTGGCA